GACACTGTCATGAATAGAATATTATCATTTGATCATTTGCCAACCGAAAAAATGCATATATTTTCTGTGCTACTGAACAATATAATGTGCTTATATCACGTTGCTTGTCATAAGCAATTAATTGAAGTAAGATACGAAAACAACACGTTATACTATTATCTTTAAAACGTCGTACGAGTTACGTATTATTTATATTTGTTGTCATTTATTTATATATATATATATATATATATAATAAAATATATTCTTATAGTATGTAGCTTTCAAAGACAGATTAGTCGATTTATCGATAGATTATGCTATCATAGATTATGAATTAAAAACTACCAACGAAGACACGGACATGTTGCAGCACACCCTTAAGGTATTATATTTTTTTATAAATTTACAAAATCATTTACATAATATACAATTATTGACATACATATTGAAAACAARTTATGCATAATTAWTTAAATATTTGTCTAGGAAATTGAAAAAAAAGTATGTTTATCCACGAGGCATGTATCCTGGCTGATGTGTTTGATATTTGTAGGCGAAAATGAACAAATTTTAGAATGGATTCTCTCGATCGTTTCGAATACAATAAAGCATTGTTCTAACAATGAAGATGAATTGTTCAGATTCGTCCCAGAATTTTATATAGATAACCTAATGGGGTTAGCTGTTCTATTACCTGATTACACAAGCGTAATACAGAAGTTTGATACTATTATAGTTGGTAATATTACACGTTTTTAAAATAMCTGACACGTTGAAATAATCGTAATMGTATATAATTATTATTACYAATTTGTAATTAATTCTGTTATCACACATGAGTTATGTTGCACGTTCAAAAGGGTCCAGCCCAAATAATTAAAATAAAATGATACGTTGGAAAAGTTTAATATTGAGATATTAAATACCTGTTTTAATTTTAATTTTAGATAAAAAATGGTTAGCCATGTCAATTGCTGAAATACTTCTTGACATTTTCAAYGATCATAGAATAATTCATCCAAAAACCAAAGAAATAATTATACAAGGAGTTACTTTATATTTGACTAATCCTAAATCAGTTGTTACTCTCCAAGCAGTYGAAGAAAGATTGTAAGACTTAATTATTATTTWATAATATTTTTCCTAATAAAATCAGTCAAATACAAATACAAAAAATATTAAAAAWTTTTATGTTGTAATATATRTATAGTAAGTCTGGGCAAGTTAGTGAAAATTTTAATTTAGTTAAATTAGGTATTAATATTTTAAATAAATATATATAAATAATATTTTTAATACATCTAATTAAGTCAAAGTTAAGTCAACAATTAGCTTAACTTGACTTAGATTAATAAGATAAGGCAATAATAATAACAATAATAAATGCTTTTATAAGGTATTTTTTAATAAAATAAATGATTATTATTTGAATAGTAATCTACATTTTTTTATATACTAGTATTACTATCTGGTCAATATATAATAATCATTATTGACTATTTTACTAATAAAAAATAAGTACCTATTACCTAATAACTAATGAGTAATCAGTAATGAATAATTATAATGATTTTATAATTCTTGACACGTAGGCTATTGATGTCTTTATACTGACAACTCATGAATATTAATTAATAACTAATTATATAATATATTAGTTTTAAATCTTTTAATTTATAAATTTAACTATAAAGTTCTTCGTCAATATGTCGTATTTTTTTTTCTGATGGTATTTTCTATATTCTGCAATCTTATGAATATAAATCAAAAACTCATAATAAACAAAATATT